AACAAGACGTCAACCATATGTCAACACTAAGACCTGAAATTCTAAGGACATGCTCTCAAGCAGTTTAAGTTAATGTTGCAAGTGCTGCAATACTTAGTAAAAAATCCTAAAAATGTATTTGAAGGACCTATTTTCTAACAGGTCGCACTAATTTAAACGTTATAAACTACCGGCACAAATACGAAAATTGAGAAAAAGTTGGTCATTCCATTCAAAATGTCTTTGCTTGTTTGGATGCCTTACATCCCAACATCATTCTACTAGGACATGTTTGCAAAATCAAATATGAAGCCCTTCTAATAAAAAAAGGGAGTTTGAGGCAAATAAAGAAGAAAATTCAGCTACATGATAAGGTAACGAATTTATCGAAAAAGAAGGCGAAGTCTTAGTAGGGAAAGAAGATGGCTGTCTTGTAGGAGGAAGTGATGATGATCTTGCAAAAAAATGAAGCGATGAACTTGCAGGATGAGGAACGTGTAACAACCCGAGTCCCACTTAACGAGCTGTCCTAGCCGTTAGCTCGACGACATACTGTCCCCACTGTACCAATATAGGTCCTTTCAGCATGCTTTATCTTCACTCGCACACTCCCCAAGAAAACTTCTCAAGGGGTCACCCATCATAGAATTATTTCAAGCTAAGCACGCTTAACTGTAGAATTTCTAACGATGAACTTCCGGAAAAAGAAGGTGTACTTTGTTGGTATAAGTAGTACCTATCAAATATTTTTAAACTTTCCTACTCTGGGTATTACAATCATCCCCCGTAAGACTCGCGATATCCTCGTCGCGCTTGATCCATCTGAGGATCCATTGCCACGTTGGGATTCTAGATGTTGTTCCTACGGGTTCAAGAGGTGGCTCCCGCCTATGGCGTAGCACTTTGTTTCACATAACACTTAGTTCTCACTTTCCGACTGGTAACAAGGCTCTGCTACCATTTGTAACAACTCGGGTCCCACTTAGCGGGCTCTGCCAGGCGGTGGGATTCTTGAGGTGGCTCCTTCGAGTTCAAGAGGTGGCGCCGGGCCTATGGCGTAGCACTTTGTTCCGCATAACACTTAGTTCCCCGATTTTCGACTGACAACCGGGCTCTGATACCATTTGTAATGACCCGAGTCTCACTTAACGGGCTGTCCCAACCGTTAGATCGACGACGTACTGTCTCCACTGTACCAATATGGGTATTTTCAGTATACTTTATCCTCACTCGCACACTCCCCAAGAAAACTTCCCAAAGGGTCACCCATCATAGAATTGCTCCAAGCCAGCACGCTTAACTGTAGAGTTTCTAACGATGGACTTCCGGAAAAAGAAGGTGTACATTGTTGGTATGAGTAGTAACTATCAAATCTTTTTAAACTTTCATGATCTGGGTATTACAGAACGAGTGGACTCAAGGAAAAGAGGGCACTGAAGAGGTTAGAATCAGTTATCAAACTGTTGCAGGACCTCTTATTAGACTCCAATGCCTTGGCCGCATTAGCTATCCAGCTTGTCCACAGTAATGGTGCTAAAAATCAGGAACATCAAGTAACTAACCCAGCAAAAAACTATATAAATAAAAAGTATTTACAAATTTTGTGATACTGGACCGAGGCAATGTCATCCATATTCACCTCAGCTAGATTAAATTGTCAATCCCCCAATGTAAAATAAGTCTTCTTTCTAGTTCTTCACAAAAGATGGAAATCCCAATACTATGGATCATCCCATCCTAGCCTTAAGACTAGTATAATACCACATCGAATTCTTAATGTTCTCTTTGAAAATAGACAAAGAATTAAACTGGTCCACAGAAAGATCGAGGAAGTCCAATTTGTGTCAAAGTAGGAGGCAAGCATACAACTACCTCCATCCATTAGGACAAAGTTGTGTGGGAACATTCCTTAGGAAGACGAAACTTCCTAATGACGTGGGAAAATGAGAGCCTCAACCTAGCATAAAGAATAGCCGGCTTTAAAGTAACGCAACTCTTTGGAGTGTCGCAAGCATGATTATCATCCACTGGCATAAACACCTCAACTGAACTAGGGATACTATAGTCTTTTCTCCACCTCTCTAATTTTTCCCACAGTGGCCGTAGATCTTATCTTAGCATACTCCCATTCTTCTCTTTAAGGTTCAGCTACACCCTCACTCTCATCTCTCAAACCTTCTATCCTAACAAGGTTGGGCACTAGCGAAGGGAAATAAGTAGTAGCATGATGGGCCATGGCTAAATGAATGGGGTTAATAATTTCGCGAACTTTGGAATTGGAAAATGTGACGGGAGAAGAGTTAGAAGAGGAAACGAGAGAAGAACTTATAGCTTTCTCTTGGTTATTTCCGCAAGAATGGACTATTGAATCATCTGAACTCATTTTATAAGGAAAAGAAAAAGGTAAAGTGTGGGAACAGAAAAGTACATGGGATAGGTCGACCACAAGCAGACTTTTAAGTAATGGGTTGGAGTGGAGAAAAGCCTTGAGAATAATAAGTGATAAACCAAGGTGTCCACACCTTCTTTTATAAAGGAAAAAAGAGACAAATAGACACATCCTTAGAATCGTTGTATTTCCATAAGGCGGGAAATTCCAAAAGTCTCCACTCAAAATAAGTAACTTTCCATTAAGCTATTACTTGAATTTTTATTAAGGGATGCCCACCATGTGTTGTGTAACTACGCAACACATGAACTTGATCGCAACCTATCAAATCTACTCCTTGAACTGTCATCCCAGGAACATCTTATCAACAGATATGCAGATCTGAAAATGACATCACTTGGGATAAAGGCCATATTTTTTATCAAAGAGGTGAAAAGCCTGGTCTTTGGGAGACAATTGTTGGTGATCCTTCCATTAATCAGGGTTTTGTTACAAAATTTGTAAAAAGGGTCCATAAAGAAATACATTATCCCTTAAAACAGGTCGGACCGAGGTTAAACCTCAATTCGGTAATTGTCGCTGTTATTAGAAGGCGTCGTCATTATTAATTTGACTAGATGACATTATCACCTCTCTTATGACCTATCTCAAGAGGACACGTGGCAAAGGACGATGGAATCACCTCATGACTAATCAATAAAAGTCATAAGATGAGTTCACCAGTCATCTTTAAGTGCAATGATGACCTAGGAAAACCGACCTCTTCATCCACTCAAATCACAAACAGGATAAATACTGTAGACGATGTGATGTTGGATGACAAAGCTACTCGATTGGATGGTATAAATCGATGCATAATTGTCCCCTCAAGGATTAGACTCAGTAGGCTGTCAATATACATTCTAAAAGAGTTGAAATGATTACTGTTTACTTCGTTTTTACTATTCCAGTTAATGACCTCTTACGAATCACCCATTAAGTAGATCAAAATTGATATTGTCATTTTGAACATCAACATATACCTATTTATAAATTAAATCGTTTATCATTCTTTCTAAATGGAGATCACAAAATTGCTGTTATCTACTGTCATCATATATATAGTACATAATACACACACAAACATATATGCTAATGTTTGGCTAATGTTTTATGAACTGCTTATAAAATATCAAATTACTTTTATTCATATATTTTGTGAGGTTCACAAGTACTGTTCATTTATTTTTATTAATTTCTACCAATTTATAATTTAAATTGTTATTAACACTTCTCAAACAAGATTTATATCATCTATTGACTATCATGGAAATGAATTGACAAGTTAAAGATGAGGCAAGTGCAAATGGACTAAACATCCTCGATATTGCTGAAAAGTTATCTCGTCTTTTTCTTCTTTGCGTAGCTTTTGATTTTGAATGAAGACTCTGCAAACAATTTGATGAAAGTACACTTAGAGGGTGTTTGGTGGATATTAAAATTTGATTTTTAGTAGATTGTGATAGATGTTTTTGAAATGTGTGATTGAAAAGTTGTGGGACCCATGAAAGATGTGATTAATTTGATTGTTTGATTTGGATTTGGATTAAAATCAAATTTTAATCCGGACCAAACAATGGGCTAATAACAATTCGATGCTTAAGGTCGACACATCTGGATAAATGCATGTATTAACATTAGCATGATAAATACAATATTTTTCATGCATCTATAATTATCTTTTACTTATATTTCAAAAAAAGGAAAAACAAAATATTTCACTTCTCTCTTCAAAAGGAGGCTCGAACTTAGTCATTGGCCTGAAAAGACTTTGATGTTACCAGTTGGATGTAATTCTTCACCTCTTCGTACCTCCACCCTATTGAGAGTGGGATCTAAAATATGTGATTGGGATGTATGATTTCTTGAAGAAACTACAGGCACATTTGAAGAAATTGAAGGCACACATGATATGGTTCAATTTTTTTTTTTTTTTTGTTGTGAATTAGTCTATTGTTTTACCTTAGTCTAGAAAAATTGTTCATATATCTATGTTGATATAGAATATCTCAAGATTTTACGTCAAATCTTTGTGCAATGCAATAATTACGCATCGAATATATAACTTTTTTGTTTCTATGTATGTTCGTATGATCACACATTTTTGTTAGTTTTATCGATTTTAATTTTGAACAACATATTTGTTAAAATAATTTTTAAATACAAAAATTCTACCAATTTTAAATTAAAGTGATATTTTAATCACTTTCTCCAATCATCAAGTTGACAACCAATCCATTAATCATGAGCGTGTACCCCACGTCCGTCTCAACGAGTGGGAAACATTACAGTGACGCGGCACAAGATTATTGGCTAATTCGCTCAAAGAGCTCGCGCCAAGCCAAGGACGTTTGGTACAACGTCCAAATCAGCCAGTGTGGTAAGCAGACAACAAATCCAATAAAGAAAAATAATATTAAAAAACACAAAATAATAAATAATTTATTTAAATAATAAGGTTTGAATTTTGCAAATTGAAAGCCTCAACACAAGGAACAAGAAGAGAGGCCAATATATTGCAAGTGCATTTCAATGATAGAATTTCCCCTTTGGTTTCTTCTTCGATTGATGTTAGGTGGTGGCGAGGGGTTAAATGGGCGGCGGAGAATCCGAGAAGGAGGAGGATTTGGTGGAGTTACCGCCGTGTCTTGCTGGAGTGAGACTGGTTGATGCTCCTGTTCTGTTCTTTGTTGTTTCGCATAAGGCTTTTCGGGCAGAGATAGCGTCACTTCTCCACCTGGCGGTGGAGGCAGCTTCGAGTGAGGTTTATGATCACGAACTTGTGGTTGACCTTGGCCGGAGGTTCGAGTTTTTGAGGCTCGTTTATAAGTATCATTGTGTTGCAGAAGATGAGGTTAGTGTTGTTTGTGTTTTTAACTTGTCCTGTTTTGTTTTTGAAATTTGATTTCAACTGTGAAATTTGGAATTCTTGATTATAATTCGAATTGAAGTTGATAAGTAATTATAAAAACAAATGGATGATTTTATGATTAAGAGGATGTAATTGACGGAGAAAATACTGTAATTGATAGAGTCCTCAGTTGTGTATACGCAGTTAGGGAGGGTTGTATGATAAGAACTATGGAGTAAGTTGACTTTGGTATTTCTAAGAATAACAACTGGACCATTTCTTAATCTATTGAAACAACATTAAGATTCCTAATTATGAATATCATTTAAAAAATCATAACTATGCGTATTCTCTTCTTACCGTCTCTTTGCTTTTTTGTTCCCTGGGAGAAGGCATATGTTTGATACCTATAAATGTTCTCTAAACTTTTGTCCCATATTTCCCTAAACTACACGTTATGATGTATTTGACCTTCAATTAACTTGCCTTATTCATGCCAAGTGTAACCAGATTGATAGTTTTACAGGGGAAACGCTCTAAAATTCAGAATCTTCATATTGTTTAGAAGAAGAAATGGACAGATGAAAAAAAAAGGGTTAAAATGATAAAACTTACTGCTTCATGGCGATATACTGAAAATATTGCAACTCATCTTTTGTAGAATCAGATATGCTATTTTGGCGCTTATTATGCAGTAATTCAAAGAACTTGAAAATTGATTTCATCTAACTAGAAGTTTCTGTCAGGTCATCTTTCTAGCGCTAGATGCACAAGTAAAGAACGTTGTGCCAAGTTATTCACTCGAACACAAAACCATCGATGATAACTTCAAATCCATTTTCCATTTCTTGGATCTCTTGATGAACAAAACTGAAGATATTCCTAAGACGTTTCAAAACCTTTTGATTTGCATAAGTACAATCCAGGAAATAATATACCAGCATATGCTGAAAGAAGAGAAGCAGGTATCAATCAATTATCTTAGCTTTATGTACAGCGATCCAGAAAGCTTATATTTTTGAACATTTTTTTTTTGCAAGTAGAGATGGAAATTGATTCATTAAGAACTATTTTCTCCTCAGGATTATGGAACAGCTTTACATCTTAAAATCTCAACAATAAAATTTAGACCCACCATTGATATCACTTTTGTGGCACACATCTATTTTTTGTTTTCCTTTCCTATAGAAGTTATCTATTTTTAGCTGCAATTATAATAAATGAATGCGATCAACTTTTCTCCATTTATTCACAACTGAAGAAAACCATTTTGAATTTTAAAACCCATTAGCACTTCAATGGATGGGTAAGATGGTTGCCATATTCATTTCATGATTCATGAAGACTTTTGATTCCCAATCCAATGCTTGGAAATATAGAGAGGAAAATTTCATCAATTTTGAGATAGTCCTTAAGAGGTGATGACTATAGTTTATACAAATTCCCAAACCTGTATGAAATTGACTGTTTCAAAGCTATTAAATTGGTATCTGACTGGCCAGGAATGCTTTGTGACATATGATTATATCTGAGGCACATTGTGTAGATAAATTTCAAATGGCTCCTTATATTTTTGAAGCCCAAATCTTATCCAAGTCTATTCATGAAAATGAAACAAATGATGTTTTCAAAATAAATAAATGCTTCATGCTTGTGCTGCCTACAGATGTATATGTACCGCTTGATGATCTTCTTTCAGCTTTTCATCAAAATAACACAAATCACTATATCTAGAGTCCAGGATTAAGCAGTTGGAAACTCCAATTTGCATAAAATCATCATGTTAATTACTTAACTTACTTCAACCATGCGCCTCAAACATGTAAAATTATTTTTGCAGAAAAATTAAACAACTGTGTCTTGAAATTATCTTTCTTATGTTCAAAAATGGTCACATTACTGGAACATCTTTGCATTAATTGACTTGGTATGAGAATAATGGAAAAATGCCTTATCTATGTCTTAACTATATCATTTTTTCTATTACATTCTCATGCTTACATATGGATGCAGGTCTTTCCTTTGCTCATGCAGAAATTCTCTTCCACAGAACAGGCTCAGCTTGTCTGGCGGTATATGTGTAGTGTTCCCATCATACTACTGGAAGAATTTTTGCCATGGATGGCGTCTTCTCTTTCTTCAAATGAACAACTAGATGTTGTAAGTTGCATCGAGGTTATTGTACCAAAAGAAAGACTATTCCAAGAGGTAAATCCTAGTTTATGTTCAACGTGTTCAGTTTAGTTTTTATATTTAACAGTTCGATCTCCATCTTAAAGGTGATTGTTTCCTGGCTTGGAAATAATAAGAGATCTTATTCTGACGGCTGCAGTAATTATGGAAAAAGACCTCACTTTTACAATGAATTATCTACTTTCGAGGATAGACTCTATGAATCTAAGATTTGCTCTGAAGAACAGCAACAGCAGAAAGCATCTTCAATATGCAAAAATGATGTGCAAAACCCCATTGAGGGCATTCATCTTTGGCATGCTGCCATCAGAAGAGATTTTAATGAAATTTTGGAGGAATTACATCAAATAAGAAGCTCAAGCAGTTTTTCAAGCTTAGCTTCAGTCATGACCCAGCTAAGATTTATTGCAGACGTCCTCATCTTTTACAGGTAAACTACTCATGGTGGTTAAAGAAGAGTACAACTCCACATCTTGACCGAGGATGAATCAAGATTTATATTCGCACTCCGATTTTCAACTAACCTATGAAACTTCTATATAGAAATTTAGGCTCGAGTCATGTTGGGACGGCGTCAAGTACCTCATCTCCTCAATGGCATTGTCATTTGTGATGGTACTTACGTCAGCTTTGTAGGTGGAAATTCATTCATCGAAAATTTTAGGCATGCCTAATACATCTTTGATTAGAGCAATTCTATGGTCATGGATGCATGCATTTGAATTTTTTTTCCTTTGTTGACTGCAGCATCTCTTTGGACCAATTTTTTAATCCAATGCCAAGTGAAGTTTCCAAACAAGGCCAATCTCCTAGCATCCAACTCATTGATCAAAGTCAAATTGAAGATCTTCAAAAGTTGCTGTTCTATGAACTTCAAGGCACAACACAGCTAAGCAGCTTTGTAGAGATCCTTTGCAAGAAACTGGAGTCGTTTGTGTGGGGTTTCAGCAAAAACATTATTTTTCTAGAAGCTGAGGTCCATCCTTTTTTCCCTGTAAACACTTTTTATCATAGAATATTTCTAGGTTTATGAAGTTATTAGATTGATATCTTATTTTGTCATTTCTGGTAGATGCATTGTACAGAATTCCTTTTTCTAATATAATAAGCTTTAGACATAGTTTTTGTTAATTGTTCCTCAATATTCTTGCTTTATAAAATGGTGAATATACCAGAGATCTAATCAGAAATTGTAGAGAAACAGGAACATGAGTATATGCTGTTTTAATCAATGAAAGATATTGAAACAATCATGGCAAAATTACTGTAACCATTCATTTCCTTTCTGATAGGTAAATGAATTCTGTATTTAGAGTATAATGATGGTATTAATTTTGTGTAACTTGTGTGTTTAAAAATTCCTTATTCAAATCAAGTTTAAATTTAATTGATATTGGTAGTTCGTAATCCAAATCTATTTGGTTATTAGCAAAAATAATCACACTCAAAAGTCAACCTTTACTGATTTCATGTTAAATCCATTTCTATTGGCAGTACAATCCATTGTTACTTTCAATCCAGTGAAGGTTTCATATCAAGATTTCAACTAATTTAAACTAATATATGGTTTAATTTTTGTTCTGATAGATTATTATCTCATCAATTTACGGACAGTGGTGTGAAAAAATTTCCTCGTAGCAAGTATAAGATCTTAACCAAATCATTCTCATCAATAAACACTAAACCTTCATTAAGCAGTAAGAAAAATGCTAAATCTCTGTTGGTGACTTGCTACAATTTAAGCAGTTGTATCTGAAATCTTCTTTAGTTGCCTAGTGGTTGAACATCCGTATGTTTGCTTTCAGTAACTTTACTTTTCAATGTCTTCCAGGTTTTCCCAAGCATTGCCAAAATTTGCACCCGTGAAATGCAGCTATGGTTACTGTACACAGGCCTTCGTAAGATGCCCCTTGGATTGCTCAGGTATGCAGTTACTTGGTTCTCTGCTCATTTAACCGAGAACGAGTCCAACTCCCTTCTTAAGAACATAAAGCTGGGATGTCCTGTAGCAAACAATTCTTTTGCACTTTTGCTACGTGAATGGGTTCACATAGGCTGTTCAGGTAAATCCTCTGTCACAAAATTTAGACAAGATTTGCAAGAACTATTCAATGACCGAAGCTATTACCTGACTGAGCAAATCAAGCAGGACACTGGATTCTCTGATACACAATTAAAAATACAACTCCCAAGCAAATATAACTCTGAGCTGCTGGCCTTGAGGTCAGCTATGATTATGAAGAAAAGTGAAGCTAATCCTTCATTTTCTGTCTTCAATCCAACTGAGAAGCATGACACCTCTTATTCTGGTGTTATACATCTAAATATATTCTATCCTCAACCTTTATCCTCCATTCAGAAACATCTTGCTGAATATAACAATGCGAACATCTTTCTTACTCTTGAATCAAGACCGATGGACCATATCCTATTCATCCACAGAGCTCTCATAAAAGATATGGAGTATCTTGTCTCCCTCTCAGCTAAGCTGGATGCAGATATAGGACTTCTTACTGAGTTCAAAAAAAGATTTCATCTCTTACATAATATATATAAAACTCATAGCAATTCAGAGGATGAGATTGCTTTTCCTGTTCTCGAATCAAAGGAAACACTGCAGAACGTCAGCCACTCCTACACCATTGATCATAAAATGGAGGCCAAACAATTCAGGAAAATTTCCCTTATCCTTAATGAGATCTCCAAGTTGCATCTTGATGTTGAATGTGATCAGATGAGGCCAAAGCACCATCAGTTGTGTTTAAAGCTCCACGATAGATGCATATCCATGCTTAAAGTACTATCTGATCACATATACCGTGAGGAAGTTGAAATTTTTCCGTTGTTTAGAAAATACTTCTCCATTGAGGAACAAGAAAAGATGGTAGAACATATGCTTGGAAGCACAAGAGCAGAATATCTGCAACAAATGATACCCTGGTTAATGGCATATTTAACACCCAATGAACAGAAAGCATTGACGTCTTTATGGCGTAAGGTTGCTAAAAATACGAAGTTTGATGAATGGTTAGGAGAATGGTGGGACGGTATGAAAAGATGTGATGTAGCTAAGGTACAAGAGGGACCAAATTCTTCTTCATTGGCTGCTAACCCACTGGAAGTTGTTTCTATGTATTTGCTGAAAGAAGGCACTAACAGCCAAAAGAATCGGCGTGACAGAGGGAATGAAGTTTTACAAGAAGAATTTGCCTTCTTCAACTCTGAGCACTCTGGATCTCTCATTGGGGTTAAAGCAACCTGTGGAGGTCAAGAAGGATTTCAATCACCAAACTCTACTGAATATCACAGCAAGGCTGACAAGAAGAGAGACAAGGAAACAAAAGATCCCTGTCCAGATGATGAACCAGTGAAGAAGATTGAGAATTGTGAGAAGTTGGACAATCAGGAGCACCCTCTAATCATGAGTCAAGAAGAACTGGAAGCTACAATAAGAAGAATATCTCGTGACTCTGCTTTGGATTCTCAGATGAAAGCGCATATAATTCAGAACCTGCTAATGAGGTACAGTAAGCATAGTTTAGAGGGATCTACAGGATCTTTATAGGAAACTTAATCCATATGAAGCATGTAAAACTGCACAAATTAAGTAATAAAACTTTTGGATTGCCTTTTAAATGATACTGCACCTGTCAAACTTTCACCTATAGTTACTGGAAACTTCTAACTAAAGGATATTATTTTTTGTAGTCAGATAATATTTGGTGCATGTTTTTTTCTGTTATTTGACCTGTTCTTTAAATTCTTCCAGTCGATGGATGGTAACACAACAGATGTCTCATCAAGAGGCTGCTGTGGCAACTGAGAGGGGAGAAATTCCAGGTCAAAGCCCATCTTATCGCGATCCTCTCAAATTGGCTTTTGGTTGCAAGCACTACAAGAGGAATTGCAAAATTCTTACTCCATGTTGCAATAAGCTACACACATGCATACGGTGTCACGATGATGCAACCGATCATTCTGTGGACAGGTTAGACTAGCATGCACCAGGTTACTGCTTCGACTCATCCGTATTTTTTCCCTTGTTTGCATAGATAGCAATACTTTCTATTTCATGATTGCAGAAAAGCTGTAACGAAGATGATGTGCATGAAATGCTTGGTACTTCAACCAATTGGTCCAAAATGTTCAACGCTTTCTTGTGATGGCTTCTCGATGGGAAGATACTATTGCAGGATTTGCAAATTGTTTGATGATGACAGGTGAGTTAATGAAGTTATGTATTCTTGGAGAAGTTGCACAAAAAATTTAGAAGAATGGAAGAAGGAGAGAACACAAACCACAAAAGAGCATCGAAAAAGGAATTGAAACTTCAACTTGTTATTGCTGTTCTCAAACGATATTTGCCTCCTCTAGGATTATTTTGAGTACTTAAAGGGATTCAAGACAAATGGTTTGTAGGATTGAACAAGTCTTTAGGAAGAAAAACACTTAAGCACTTGTGTTTTCATCCAAAAACTTGAACAACACTTAAAAAGTTAGAATGTGAGAAATGAATTGGATTAAAGGCACTATATAATGAATTTTATTTGATGATTTGATGTATTTATAAATGAAAACTATCACCTATTTATAAATGTCAATCGAAAAGTGCGAGCTATTCATGAGAAGTTGAGTTTTTTTTCATGAAAGGTCACCAACAATTAAAACTGAAAACCAGCCTTAATTGCTAGTTTCCAAGGCGCATGGGCAAATTGCCCAGTGTCCAAATTTTCTATTCATTTTTTATTTCTCATCAATTTTACCTTCTCCAGATGTACAATATATATCCAATTCTCTATTCCATTATAATTCTTGAACCAATATACAACAGATGTCATCTACATTCTACTTCTAAAGAACACCTTGTGATGAAGCACTCTATCATCTCCAAGTGGTTGGTGAGAAAGGTCCTTTTCTTTGGTATTCTCATGAGCTATAACAGTATCTGTATAGAGATTCTAATTCTATAGTCATCCATAATTTTTTAAGCAAATAAATTGAATTTCATTTATCTTATTAGTCCTTTTTGTTATTTAGAATTTATAATGTCAGTTTCTCTGTTGTAGAATAGGCAATGCTATCATATAGAATCTACAAAATGAACACTTTTATTTAAACTTTCTTTGGTCCATTCACATCAACTATTTCAAGCCATAGAGTCTATGAAACAAGATTGTACTAATAAATAAGGCTTTCCCAATTTCAATTCGAGTCACTTGAAGAATTGTGCATATAGAAATCTTCATTTGAAAGTACAGAAAGACCCCTCGAATTTAAATTTGATCCCGATTCTTTACCATTGATAAAAGTTAAGAAATCAACAATTTCGGTTGATAATGGTTTTTTATCAAGTCGATCTATTTCCTGTTCAATTTTTTGGTAATCAGTATCAGGAAGAATGATACCATGAATCCGATTTATCCAAACTTTCTCTACGAAATTGTCCTTCGAAGGCTTTTTTTTTTTATGATTGAAGGGGAAAGGCTTTTTGTTATTGTTCTCCGATATGGTAGGATCATACATTTGGGGGTAAGTATTCGTTTTTTGTATTGTCATTACACAACCTAGTCCTTGTTTCAAGTATATTAAAAAAAAGAGATTCTTTGTCTAGAGCTTGAATTCAATTTACAAATTTGTTGTTTAAATTATTACTTTTGTCTTTGTTTGTATAAACCCAATGATTGTAGAGTTCATTAGATGATAATTTTTCTAGTATAGACAGAGATATCCTTATTTTTATCATTTCCCAAAAAGTTGACAAACTGGATGAATATGTAAAAGATATTCTTTCCTACATACGTAAGTTATTTAGACATGCTCAATTAATTGGATATCCAACCAATCGTGCATTAAGCGACAAAGAAATAATGCAAAGTTCACTTAGATTTAAGGTGGCATACTTAAAAGTTAAAAGACACGTGCTCAAGAATTAAGCTAAACTGGAGGAAGTCATGCTTTCACCCTCATATTCATTGGTTACTCTTGCATTTTGTTATTGAATTGATAACGACTAGTAAAAGAATTTGAACTGCTCCTTCCATTGCATGAACTTTGAAGTTGGTAGCTTTGGAGTCCGTATTGTCTCTAAAATGACATGATTTGCATACGTGTTCACCTCATCTTTCATTTATAGATGAACTGAAGGAAATATAATTGATAAGCATTATTAGGGCTGTGTCTGGGCCGAATTCCTTGCCAGATTTTGAGTGATTTTTCAACCGTTGCAAAGAACTCCAGTCGCAGAAGTTGACCAAAGATGAGAGGTGTGGGGGCCATTGTTTGAAAAAAACGACTATATTCCCACTGAAAATCTGATGAAAAGCAGGGCCAGACAAATTCTAGAATATTTGCATTCGTAGTAAATAAAACCTTGGAGACATGTAATTTGTTGGATTTAGATACAGCTTTTCCCTAAATGCTTCAATAACTAAAGTTTTGGAGTTTCTGTAAACTTCTTTCCCTGAAGAGATTATAACAAGATAGCTTCAGGGGTGAAAACTATTATTGCTAAATTTTCATATATCTTGGGGAATCAGTCATGGAGATTATTTAGCAAGAATTCATAGAAATTAGGGTTCTTTGATAATCTGATTTTATTGATAAGTAACTTTGTAAATTGTAAAACTAGAAAAGAGAATAAAGTTATTTTCTTTTATTGTATTCATCAATCTCTTAGGTATATATACAAGTTACAAATCCTATGTTAGGAAAGAAAACTAATTATGTCAAATCTCTATAAATCAGTGTCAAATATATTTATTTCTTATTCTAGAAATATACTCTGTAACACTCCCCTCAAGCTGGAGCAATGATGTTTATCATGCCCAGCTTGTTACAAAGATAATTTTAGAGTTTTGTGAAGATATCTCTCAATTGTTCTCCTATTTTCACATACCCTGTGGAAATCAAACATTGCCGAATCTTTTCACGAACGAAATGATAATCAAACTCAATGTGTTTAGTTTGTTCATGAAAGACTGAATTAGATGCAATATGAAGTGCAGCTTGGTTATCACACCATAACTTAGCCGGTATTGAAATCTTGAGGCCCACTTCAGCGAGGAGCTGATGTATCCACATTATTAGGCTGACAAGAGCACTAATAGGCTGGGCAGAAGTTGAATTTTCTGTGCGGAGTACCCTACTAAAAGCTTCTTCCAAAGAGGATATCTCAGGGCTAGAAAGAATTTGAGATTTAGCGGTCTCAAATTCAAAAGGAAGACCAGCCAAGAAGTTCATAACCGCCATTTTTTCTCTTTGAGCTTGCTGAACTTTCACATCAGTGCTGAATGGAAGTAGTAAATTAAGTTCTTTATGAGACTTCTTAAAATCCATAAAGTAGTCAGTGAGAAATCTGTCACCTTTTCTGGGCAATAAAAGACTTGGCACACCTCATAAGTGCGTTTGATATTTCCCTTGCAAGAATACACAAACTCCAAATAATTCATCAATTCTTTCACAAATTCACAATGATTTATTAAACCAACTACCTCACTATCAATGGAATTACATATTTGCAAAAATAGACGGGCATTCTCTCTTAGCCATGAGGCTTACGAATCATCACTAGGTGGTTCATCAGTTAGGTGATTATCTATTGCAATACTCCGCAAATAAAGTCTAACAGTTTTACTCAAATATAAATAATTAGATCTATTAAATTTATTTTCTGTGATTTTTGACATCACAGAAACCACATCAACAGATTTCTTTTGCTCTGTCATGTAAAACTAGAAAAAAGATTTCTTCTATTGTATTCATCAATCTCTTAGGTATATATACAAGTTGCAAATCCTATGTTAGGAAGGAAAACTAATTACGTCAAATCCCTATAAATCAGTGTCAAATATATTTATTTCCTATTCTAGAAATATAGTTTGTAACATAAATGATAAGGAAACTGCAGAACACTAACCAATCTTGTACCTATTTTTTAAAATGACAAAATGATGGAACAATCTTGTAATGATTTCTTGCGGTTCACAAAGTTTTTACCGACCTTTCTTTGCAAACCTGAACAACAAAAGCTAGTAACCGATGTTGAGATAATATAGTCCTGCCAGTATTCCAGATAAAATCATGTAGCTACCACCTGATACTGTGGCCTTCTCTGATTGCATGAATAATCTTAGCCCCCGTTTGACAACCATTATAAAGTTTTTTTTGGGAAAATGAGTTTTGGAATAGTGATTTTTTGGAGAATGTGTGGTTAAAAAGTGAGAAAAAGTTTTGAGTTAACGTGCAAAATATTTTATTGTGAGAATGTGTGGCTGAAAATGAGTTCAAGAAAAAAAGAGTTTTGTAAAAATGGTTGTCAAATAGGGGCTTAGTGACCATTTACCATTTTCTTCTCTGATTGCATGACTAATCTTAGTGACCATTTACCGTTTTCTCTAGCATTTGAATCTTTTATTTTCAACTTTCCCCTTTCTAATTATGTTACATATTTCTTTTTCTCCCATTTTTTCCCATCTGAATGATACTGACATGAGAGGATTTTTTACAGGAAAATCTATCATTGCCCTTACTGTAACTTGTGCCGGGTCGGAAAAGGATTGGGCATTGATTACTTTCATTGTATGAAATGCAATGCGTGTATGTCAAGGTCTCTCTTTGTGCATGTATGCAGAGAGAAGTGCTTTGAGGATAATTGCCCAATTTGCCACGAGTATATTTTTACTTCAAACTCTCCAGTAAAGGCACTGCCATGTGGTCATTTGATGCATTCAGCATGTTTTCAGGTATCAGGCTGCTGTTAAGGATTTTCATTTCTTCTGAACTAATGCAATATATTTTGTTTTCTTCTGAGCCTCTCTATGGTGCTTCTAGGATTACACATGCTCTCATTATACCTGCCCAATTTGTAGCAAGTCACTGGGGGACATGCAGGTCAGTTCAAATATTCTTTTCATATATTTTAGTTTGAAAGGCTCCTGCTCCTCTGGTTAAAAAGGCAAATAATTTTATAACCTTGTGTTATCATAACAAGTGAATACTCATTAATAGTATTGGTTCTCACTCTTTCTAGAGATCTTGTTTATGAGCCTCAATTTTGCTTGTTACATGATTTGACAAGAATGCTTAAGATTGTATTCTGTATATAATCTTTTTACGGTTATAAAAGAAAAAGATTCTTACTGTTCGTTATCTAGAAACCTGGAACTGGCTGAACATGTTTTCTATTTGATTTATATTATTCGAGGTTCCCATTTAGTATATTTGTCATTCGGTTTTCATACAGCAACAAATCTAAATACATCATATACAGCAAAACTTGTAACAATTTCCACATAGCTGGCTAAAGGTAACTGGCTCAAACTCTGGTTGAGAGGCTAACCTTAAATAGATAACTAAATTAACTGTTAGAAAAGTCAGTGAGATTTAACATGCTACAAGGTAGGACCGAGCCGAATGAACCAGTGTGGTAACTGCAAGCTTGCTGCTCAAATGTGTTCGGTTTCAATACGTCCTCTTAGTTCTTAACTACTTGCTTGGACTTTACAGTTATTGTTTCTGTTTCAAGTATAGAGGTGCATCAGGTGGATAAATTTATCTCCTAAATTTTCTTTTCCAATGCATTATTCTGTTCCACGTCTTACTTTCTAGGAAACTGTCATTCTGAACCAGTTGAAAGTAATAGCTTGAAAATTGCCACATCATTCTCCATTAATATAAGACTGACGAACTTATCAAAGGAGTCTTTAACTCTGTATTATCTTGGACTTGAAATATATCCGTTAAAAAATTCTTACGACTCTGTCGTACATCTTAAATATAATAATCAACCAATCATTTTTCCCAGTTTACTGTCATTCAAGTAAACATATTAAACAAGTGAAAAACGAAATTAGAAACCAATGTTTATATATCTGGCATTTCTAATTTGCCATTCCAGTTCACTTTTGCAAGTTGAGTCCATTCCATCTGATGTCATACAAGATTTTAGCATTACGAAATATTAAAATGGTTCCTTTCAGGTGTATTTTGGAATGTTAGATGCTCTATTAGCTGAAGAGAAAATTCCAGAGGAATATTCTGGTCAGATTCAGGTTGGCTATGGTCTATAGACACTCTTAATTGGCATTCTTTATTATCTTCTAACTTGGGTAAGATAAAAATAATCCAAATTACTGTCTATGGATGTGCAGGTTATACTTTGCAATGACTGTGAGAAAAGAGGAACTGCAGCCTTTCACTGGCTCTACCACAAGTGTTCTCACTGTGGTTCATACAATACCAGGCTCTTATGACTCAAATCCTTGGCAAGTTTGGATTTTGTATCTTAATCATCTAGAAATAAATAAGTCCTGTCAGATTCATGTGTCATGTATGAAACATATCAATTTCCTCGACTAATATAAATTATTTTATCTTTACATCTCCACCTTTCTTACTGAAGCTTTTGAAGTCTGATTCAGATATGAAATCATTTTTTACCAATTTCAGTTTGCGAGTTTGATAATTTTTCTCCGGATAATGCTGCTAAATTCTTTATTCAGAAGTTTTTCTGACAATAATCTTCACCAAGAGAAACATTATAAGACGGCCTATCTCTTGCTGTCATGCATGATTCATATAGCAACGATTTTGTAAGCTTCTTCATTTTGTGAATGGTGACAAGCTGATCTTTCAAGTTTAAAGTGTGACGACTTTTGTCTTCTTCTTGTACAGCATTATAGTTGGCAGGAATCATCTAACCGTTTTTCCTAATTCACACTTTTGTACTATAATCTTCTGATTTTTCCATGTATAAAGACTTGCTCCCCCAGTCCACCATTTTTCCATCCTTGTACAACTGTTGGTCAGGCCTTATGATGCTCAGACTTGGGTACGGGTATGCATTTGAGTGTCGAATCTTTTATTTTCTAAAATATAGGATACGGGGACATGGCTCAATTTTTTTGTTAACCCAATATGTCATTTTAAATAGGTCAAAATCAATCTTTCAGAAAGAAGGAAATGAGTATTGAATAAGGGGATAAAACGAATAAAATAGAGTTTTGGGATTTTATTTTCAATTATAGAAAGTTAATTACTAAGTGTTATATAAAATAGAAAATAAGGAAATTGATTACAATTTAAACTTAGTGAAATACTAAGTAGCACAATATGAACCTATGTTCATTTCATACAAAGAAAATCCTAAACCATCGATACGGAGAGGAAAGAAGGAAGAAAAGGTAAAGAAAAAAGTTAGAAGAAAAAGAAGGAAAAACCTAGTGCCGCCGTCAAAGAAGAAAATGGGAAGAAAAAAGAAAGAAAGAAAAGAAACGGAGTGTCCGATTGAAATTTGGAGGATCCGACACATATTCCATACTCATACCCATGTTGTGCCGTGTCCAACACGATTACTTCGTCCATTTCAAAAAGTCCAAGTATCAGAGGTGAAGCCCTCATTTTGTATTGGCCCCCTTCAACCGATGCACTTTTCAACTTGATCTCTACCAATTGCCTCACATTCCTAATGCATCTTGAAGAAGACTAGATTGGATACCCTCAATGTCATGGGGTCTATTAGTATGTTCAACCTTTGTTAGAGTAATAAGCTAGTTTAGCCGCTAACAGCTTCACTGAATCCCATTTCTGGTCTTTCTAAGAGTATATTATCTCTTAAGTTGTCAACCAAACATAACTTGTTTTAGTTGTCATCCATCGTGAATGCTCAGGATATACTTGGACATGACATACTAAACTTTATTCCCTTCAAATCCGGGGTGGTCAAATAGGAATCATTTTGTCCCATTTTTGCTCCACCGCTACATTTCTTAGGTCTTGTTAATTTTGGATCCCCCCCCCCCCCCCCCCCCCCCCCCCCCCCCCCCCCCCCCCCCCCCCCCCCCCCCCCCCCTCCCCTCCTTAAATCCTGTTCAACTGGGATCGCATCACAACATTCTGTTAACTTATCATTGATTGGTGGCACATCCTTGTTCGGCATATATTTTGATTTCTCATCTCCATTTTGGCCATGCATTCATCTTAACATCCTCAATTTCCCTACATTCATAATGCCAAATATTTTGTTCTTTAACAGTTCACCACTCAGTACCATCTAGTATAGCTAGTCTAATACCCGGTTTCCCAAACTTGCCTTTTAGCCCTATAACATTATAATTCCTTCTTATTGCATTGAATCTCTATCAGTTTTTCATCCAACTCACTCGTCCTATGAATTACATCTTTAATTCACGTTTCCTTAAACCTAATTACTAAAAACATTTACTCTTGGAGACAACATGATCCTATCTAGTGACTCCACTGCCATCCTTATCCTATCACACAAGACACCTGTTTCGTCTTTGAGTTCATCAGTCACCTTTATATCCACCGCTAAATCCAGTTATCTTTTGCTTGTCCAATTCATCCAATTTTTTCTGACTGAAATATGGTCATATGCAGTATAATTTTATCCACCTCTGATATTAATGTTACTGTTTTCACGTAATTTTATATCTATCATGTAACGACCCCGTCTCTGTGTCCAAATTGTTATATCATACGTATTGTCTGCTTTGAGAAGGCATCTGCCCTTTTACCCTTTATGACTTTCTGTTGCGTCTCTCAAAATTCGAACATAAGACCTCTACCCAATGAAAGACTTAAGTTGAATCCTAAGGGACTCAATAGAAAGCTATGAGGGGTAAGAGGGCAAATGTCATCCCAAAGATGACTGTACGTATGATATAATTGCTTGGGCACAGAGGTCGTGTCATTACAAAAAACGTGCGTTTTTGTAACGACTCAAGCCTCATGCCCAAACCGTTATATCATATGTATTGTCTGCTTTGAGAGAGTTTAGCCCATCTTGCCCCTTATGGTTTTTTATCGCGTCCCCCAGAATTCGAATCTAAAATATCTACCTAATGAGAGACTTAAATTGAATCTTGATACCAATTAGGCATTGCCTCATGCCCAAGCCTCTATATCTTATGTATTGTCTGCTTTAGGAGAGTCTGGCGACCTAATTGGTACCAGAATTCAACTCAAGACTCTCATTAGGTAGAGGTCTTGGGTTTGAATTTTGGAGAACACGACAGAAAGTCGTGAGGAGTAAGATGGGCTAGGCTCCCTCAAAGCGAATAGTACATAGGATATAACTGCTTGGGCACGAGACATGGGTCATTACATACCAGGTAATTGACAATTTTACACGCTTTTGGAGTAATGAGGGGTTGTTCTCGTAAAAAAAATATATTTTTTCCTATCGTAAAGTAGATTAGAATTTAGATTAAATTATTTTATCTAATCTTTGTCAGAAAAGGTAACATCATACCTTTCATGCGTATGATGGTGAATCGCCTAGAAAATTTGTTTAACTAGAGAAACATTTTCCTAGATTTCACAAGATTGATCTTAGATTTGCTGCAAAAAAAGAGAGAGATTTCATCTTTCTATTTGGTATACCAAATTGTACAACGAACGGATAGTTTTTTAATGAAACAATAATGAACTATTTTTGTAGTTCCTTAAAACAGAGTGTAGAAAATAAGAGGCAATAAAAAGATGATGAACGTACCCTAGGAAGTCTATATGAATAAGAAATTAAAAATAGGAACCACAATAGGCCAAGCCATTCTGCTAGCATCTTCTTCATTTTGCTTTTCTTTATCAGCTGAAACTGGTAAGGCTGAAACATGCAGCAGCACTCTTTAGTTCATTTTCAGCCATTTGCTCGACAGAATGTCTTATATCTTTCATTGATGATTCCGAGCTACACATAAGTTGACATTTCCAAATTAAACCAATGGATGTCATAATTTAATCATTGGATTCTAGCTTCAGATTGCGCAATGAAATAAAAGTTAGTACCTAGACTCACATACTTCCTTGGAGTTGATATAGGATTGCCTGTCATCGATGGTATCAAAAAATGGATGTATCTGTTTCGCGCGTTTTTCACTCGCTAACAATTAAAAGGGATTCAGACGATTGTGTAAGGGACAAGCCTCTTGAAACAAAGTCCCAAAAAGGGGTGTTTATCTTACATGTTCTTTGTTTTGAGAGTGAATTTTGTCCGTCTTTTCTTCGTTGTCTTCTTCTTTCTTTTATACGGCCTGGACAGTTTTGATCGTTTCAGCAACTGCTTGTTACTACCCACTTCTTTCATCATGGTCGGCTGGCTAAAAACTACCGTGTGCAACTTCTATCACT